GCATTGGGTAGCCCCCCTTTGGGGGATTCAGGGCTGGTGAGGCAGGCTTCTTCCCATGCGCTCTGTCGTGTCATCTTGGAGTGAGTTCGCTTGGACATGGTCGAAATGACGACGTCCCTCAGATGGGTTTCCCGTCTGTTTCCGGTCCTGAAACAAGACTGCGCGGACCTTCGGTTCATTCTGGACTTGTCCCGTCTGAACCCCTGGGTTCATTGCCCCTCCTTTCGGATGACTACACTGTCCCAGGTTTGGCTCCTGTTGGAGCCGGGCGCTTGGATCATGTCCCTGGACCTCCGGGATGCTTATTGGCATGTCCCGATTCATCCAAGGTTCTGGGACTGGCTCGGTTTTGACTGTACCTATGTCTGACTGTACCTCTGTACTGTACTGTACCTCTCTCAACCAGTTTAAGTTAAAAGCGAAGCTATACCTAATAAATTCCCTGTAACCTACCTTACCCTTCTATTGTCAACCAATGTCTGTTTTTCTTTAAAGAGCGCTGTTTGTCGACATAATTGTATTTGTGCTGCTTTTTCATCTATGTTTTCATTTCTTGTTTTCATTCTACTCATTATGCTCAATTAGTATTAAGCTTGTCATTTAAGTTTATCATGCCCGAAACGCTTTGCGTAATAGTGGCTTTAGGCATTGTATGTACTAGCTCTACCTATAAGTCAACCAATCCTTGTAAAAATTTATTGTATGTATGTACCTTACCTAAATAAAATTGTATTGTATTGTATTGTATTGTTTTGTTGTGGGGCGTAAGGGGTTACCGCTTTCGTTGTCTCCCGTTCGCGTTGAACCTGGCACCTCGCATGTTCACGTGCCTTACCGGGTCGTGGTGGCCCGTCTGCGTTTGTTAGGTGTTTGAGTGTTGGCCTACCTCGACGACTGGCTGCTTTGTGTTCCCAGTCGGTCCTCTTGTCTGCTAGCCAGGGATTTGGTTCTTTCTCAGCTCTCTGGGTTCGGGTTCATGGTGAACTGGAGGAAGTCCCATCTGGTTCTCTCCCAGGTTCGGACATGGCTGGGCTTTGTGTGGGACTCTCAGACCACTTCCTTATCTCTTCTTCTGAAGTCTCTCCTGTGGCTGTGGTCCCACATGCGCCTGTTTCTGGGTGGCTCCCAGGCCACCCGGTGGTTGCTTGAGGGTCTGTGCGGGAGCCTGAACTTTACGATGCTGGTTTACCCGCTGGGTCGGGTTTGACTTCGTCGGCTGTTCTGGTTCCTTCGGTGACGTCCCTTCCGCCTCTCTCGCGATCGCTGGGTTCGGACCCCGGGGGCCTTGCATCGGTTGCTGCGTTGCCGGCTTCCTCTTCGGGTTTTTCAGGGTTCAGTGCCTTGGCGCATACCCGAGCCCACGTTTGATGTGTTCACGGGTGCGTCGTCTCTCGGCTAGGGCTTTATGACCAGTGCTCACCAGGCCGGTCAAGGACGTTGGGGTCCATCTTTCTGTCGAGCCCACAACACGGTGCAGAAATTCGCGGCGGTGTTTACTCTTCGGGGGCTTTGGGTCGCCTGCGGATCGACGATCCGGCTCCATTCGGACTGCTCCCCGGTGGTTCATTGTCTGAATCGGGGGAAATTTGATGCAGTCCTTGGCTCTTTGGAGCTGGTCGCTTTGGGTGACTCGTCTGCTGAGTTCTCGGGGTTTGGCTCTCCTGGCAGTTCACGTGTGGGGAGTGTCCAACGTCTTGGCCAACGGCCTGCCTCATTTCGTTCCCCCTCTCCACGGAATTGACAGTCGACACCGACTTGTTCCATTGGCTTTGCCAGATGCTCGGACGCCCCAAGGGTGATCTCTTCGCTTCGGCTTGGTCGCAGCGCCTTTCCCAGTATGTGGCGCCCTTCCCCAACTGCGAGATCGTCGGGGTCAATGCCTTCTGGCAGGACTGGTAGAGGTGGGGGTTCCTTTACCTCTTTTCCCCAGTTCCGCTGTTGCCATGTGTCCTGACTAGCTTGGAGACTTACCAGGGGAGAGTTGTCCTCTTGGCCCTGTGGTGGCCGGCCCAGTCGTGGTTTCAGGCGCTGCTTGCTCAGTGTCCGAACCCAGAGGTTTTCCCACGGCTCCGCCTCTTCCAGCAGATCGGACCAGTGTGTCACGTGGCTGGTTCGATCTTCTCCTTGAGTCTTCGCGTATGTTATTTTTGACTCGAGTTTATCATCTCTATGGTGATCAGGTGGTTTCCTTGTTAGTGTCCCACTTGAGGGCTTCGTCTCAGTGGCAGTATGAAGTTTCCTGGCAGTCCTTCCGGTTCTTCTTAAGTCTTCGTCATTGTACTTCGCTTTCGGTTAGGGTGGTGTTGTCATTTCTCTCTTGGTTGTTCCAGGACCATCTTCTTATGCCTAACACCGTCGTCTCGTATCGTGCGGCGCTGGCGAAGCCGCTTCAGCTTGCTTTCGGTATTGATGTTACGTCTGCGCTGTTTTGTAAGCTGTCTCGGGCGTTGTTTCACCTCTGGCCTGCTCATGCGTCGCCTGAGCCGTCCTGGTCATTGGACAGAGGACGGCATTGGACAGAGGACGGCCCCTCTTATCTATCTTCTCGGTTTGTTGTGGCCCCTTTGGTTCAGGATTGTTTCTCCAAGGCTCTTTTTCTGTTGGCATTGGCCTGTGGGGGTCAGGTTGGTGAGAATCATGCCCTCCTCCGGCGCAGGGGTTTCTACTCTTTCGGTTGGGGTGATAGGTTTGTTCATCTGCAGCCTTCTCCTTCTTTTCTGGCGAAGAATGAGGCTGCTGCTTTTTGGAGGGGTCCCTAGGTTGTTGATGCTTGGTTGGTTAGGCTGGGGGTGCATCATGTTTTGTGTCCGGTTGTGGCTCTTCGCCGTTATTTGCGCGCCATGGCTTTTGTGTCCATGGACGCGCTTTGGGTTGATCTGGTTTCTCTTCTTCCCTGTTTGCGGGTGTGGGTCTCCCAGGTCGTTCACAGGGTTATTAAGGCTAGCCAGCCTGTGGTCTATCCCCGTGCCCATGATGTTCGCAAGTTCACGGATCTTGCCGCCATCTTTGGCAATATGTCTTGGGTTGACATTCAGGCATGGGAATTTTAGCGGTCGAACAGGGTCCTGGCTGCTCGTTACCTTGTTAACGTCCCTGGGCCCAGTCGGGCCTGTGTCGCTTTGGGTCGGCAGATGCAGCCAGGTGTCTCGACTTTGGGTTGAGGAGTGAGCAGCAACCGCCTCCTGGTTAAGTCCCTCTTTTTTTCCTCTATGGGTAGTTAACTCTGGGGAGCCATAGGGGCTTCCCCCAGAAAACTAGCATTATATGTAATGAAATGCCATTTTCTGAGTGAGACCTGGAGGCTCCCCGGCATCCTTCCCTCCCTCTGGTCAGCGGTTTTTCCCGTGTTTTGACATCCAGCCTCAAAACTGAGGTGTGGATCGCCGGCGTGGAGGGTCTGGGGCTCCCCCTTCCCCCTTCCCGAGGAGGGGGGAGCTGCGCAGACAGCGGCGTGGCAATAGGTGATGTCACACTAGTTTGCTTGTTTTTTGTTTGGGGAGTTCTATCCACTTGTTTGGCTTTTGGTAGCAATATTTTCACCAGAATAGGGGTTTGTTTTGGGATGCTTACCTTTCTGGGTGCCTGACCCGGTTGATGGGAGACATAGAATGCTTCCAACCACATGGGGGCTTCTATAGGCCTTTGCTCCCCTTGCCTCTCTGAAGGTACCAGGTTCTGGTCGTGGTCCCCGGTAGGCCCAAAAAACTCCATACACATGACCGATGCCAAAGTCTGACATTAGCGTATCAGCCTGGATAGCTCCGCGGAGCCTCCGGGTCTCCCCCAGGAAATGGCGTTTCATTACATTCAACGCTGGTTTTTTAATTTTTTTTGTTGCGCCTGTGGGTGTTGAAGGCCAAAAGGCCCTTAATTAGCGACCTAAGGGTTAATATTTGGCAGAAGAGTTTCCTACCATAAAAACTTTGGGTAATTGTGCTTTTTTTTCTGTCTTTTTCTATTGCAGATGTTGTACATTTAGGCATATTAAACCTGGTAGCAAGAGCAGACACATAGGTACCATGTTCATATTTTGCAATGGGTTCTTTTTTCATCTCTATCATGGTTCAACCTAATTTTCTTTTCACTTGGAAGTGCCATGGTGACTTATTTATGCTAAGAATCTGAAAAATATCCAAGAAAATATAAGAAATTTGATTTGATTGATTGATGACGATTAAATCACCCAAGAGGTGGCACCGGCATGAGTAGTCCCGTAAATGAGAAAGTTTATAGAGGTGTTTAGTAGGGTGTGCACTTAGCGACAGCTACTGGATAACTGACTCATCCATATGCATGTTTGTTTGAGTGCGAGCAAATGGTTGACTACAAACCATGAACAGTTTGAATGCCAAATTTTTTTAGTTGGAAGCCGTTCAAGTACCGAGGTTCTGTATATTATCTATTGGGTCTCATAGTACAGCTGGCTTTGTTCTTAACTTACAGTCAGTGATTCCAGGCTCAATTCCTGGGTGGAAGAGAAATGGTTAGGTATATTTTCTTTCACTTAATGCTTCTGCATACCTAGTAGTAAATTCCCAGGAGTTGCATGCTGGGAATGTCAATAGTTTAATCTTGGGGGTGGCCTTGATAAAAGCCTAAAGTACAGTATTGGACCTAGGCTTCATGTCTCTGACCAAATGAACAAATTATGATAATATTGTGAACATACATGGCACAGCATTACAGGGTTTTTCATAAGGCCAATAATTGTCAATAACAACATTTGAGGTAAGACTGAACACTGAAGTAGAAGTCTCTGCATATGATGTTTTTCTCAAGAGTGACAATGTAATTATTTTGCAAAGAATAAATAATATAGATGAAATGTATAATGTAGATGAAAATATATAATCCAACCTACATGCAAGAAATGACAGTTGTCATGTCATCCTGGACCCTTATAAAGGTATAAGAGAGAATAAAACATCATCACTTTTATTTCATATGTGAGGGATGGGTTATGCATATAATTTATGATGACACTCATCTTATTTTTTCAGGGGCAAAAGTGATCATGTCAACACCACACTTCTACATGGGGGACAAGATTGAACTTGCGAAGCTAGTGGGGCTGAACCCTAGCAAGGAAGAACATGAAACCTTCTTGGATGTTGAACCCGTATGTAATATTATTATATGGTTACTTAATTAGTTTAAACTACAGCAAATATGATGAATTATTTTACTTTCATGAAATCTGTCCTTTACAATGTAAATGAGATAAATACTGAATACATTTCCAAAGCATGTTTCTACAATATACTGTATTGTATGTTAAGGCAAGGTGGCAGTTAAAACACAGTGCTACCTGTAATGATCACAATGCAATTAAAGACTTGACTGCCATACTTTACTTAAGTTTTAATGCCTGAATTTAACTGAGGGTCACTAACACTCAAGTGGCCTCAAGGCTAAGAGCCCTGGGAAACCCCGTGGGGGGCTTCATGGTCCGATGGATGCGACCCTCGAGTCCCCTCTCGCATCATGCAAGGTTGATGGTTGCTCTGTCCCCCTTGTCTCAGGGTGACAGTCACTGGTTGTGCCTCCACTATGCTGCCTGTATGGTCGGTGATTCTTTTGACCCGGAGTCGTGCGATGCGTGATTGAACGTGCTCCAGTTCACGCAAGCTACTGATCATGATATGAGGGGTGCAGGCAGCTGAGGAGTTGCATGCTAGATTTAGGTTGCTGCAACGCATCAGGTAAGTTGCTTACCTAATGCTTACCTAAGTTGCTTACCTAAGGAACTGGACATGCATCCAGTTCCTGCCCCCTTGCTTCCAGCTCCGAAACGTCTGAGAGTTTTGGAGTTGGGGCAAGGTCTAGTTGGTGTTGAGACACGGGCATTTTTTTTTGCCTGGTCCTAAAGCGAAACTTGTGGGGTCTGACCAGTGGGTTCCCTTCGGTCCTGCTCTTTTGGCAGCTCCTGCCTTTTCTTTAGAGGCTGGGGGTTTGGGGGATGGCTCGGCTCTGGGTCCTCAGAGTGAGGTTCCCGGGGTGGGGGAGGGGTTGACTTGAGGGCCTTGGGCCCCGTTGGATCCCGTCTGGGTTTTTGTACCCTTGGACCCTGCCTGGGTTTTTGTACCCTTGGACCCCACCTGGGGTTTTGTACCCTTGGACCCAGCCTGGGTTTTTGTACCCTTGAACCCTGCCTGTGTTTTTGTACCCTTGGAGTGGGGCTTGGTGTTACAAGGAGTATGGTTCTCTTCTTCTTCTCCCTCCTCATATGAATTGGATTTGACGTCTACCCTCTCCCCAAGTTCAGTTCTGTGATCCCGTGGGTTTTTCAGTTCTGTCTTTTCCGGAGGTTTTCAGCTTCCCGCGTCCTGTTCCATGTGATGCGGAAAGCCCTTGTGCACAACCTGGATTACGCCTTCGTAATGGATTCGAGTTCCTTCGTGTATGGATCTTCTGTCCTTACTAGGTTTGTTATGAAGTTTTGGAGTGGTCCTGGTTGGCAGACTGTCCTCTTTTTCTCATTGGAGGCTTGCCATTCATTCTGTCAGTCCTGCACGCTTGAGTGGCAGAAGGATCAGACGGCGTTGCAGGTTTTCTTGGGGAGCGAATTCGAGCATCTCAATGCATACTTGTTTGCCCCTGCCCTTCTGTAGGATGTTGGTGTCGTACAACTCCATGTGCAGGTTCCCTCCCTTTCAACTGCATTAGTCGCAGAGGACTTGTGTACGCGAGGCCTGTTGGCTTTGGCCTTGCATTTCTTCTCCCTGCTCGGGCTGTCATCGAACTAGCTTAAGTTGGATGTGGAGGAGAATGGGCACGCACTGCCCTCGGCAGTGCATGCATCGTCTGCCTTGTTAAAGTTGTTCGCGCTGATCCTGCGAGATGCAGTTTTGCGGTTTTTGCTTCTCGACTCGCGTGTCGGCAGGTGGTGCTCGCTTCTTTCCTGGAATCCACTTGGGCCCTGGCTCTTAGGCTTTCTTTGCCTTTTTGCACATTGCTGTTTGCAGAGTCTGAGGTTGTGCAGTATCTGCAGGCAGCTTCGTTCAGTTATCGTCCTATGTCGGACTTGTTAGTCCTCCAGGGGGCTCATGGGGAGTCTTCCCAGAAGGGTCGTGCCAGGGCTTGGGGTTATTCCCATCGTGGTAGGCTAGTGGTGCCAGATTCAACACAGGTACAGCCTTCGGTGCCATCTGTTTCTGTTCGGCACGGGGAATCCATTGACAGAGAAAGAAAGAGAAAGACTCATAGCCAGGTTGTGGGGACGATCGCCGGAGTCCTGACAGTCACTAGGTCGAACCTAATTTGCAAGGTTCTTTCTGTGTTATATGACAAAGAGTGCTGGGGAGATGGGATACAACGAGGGTAGCTCCCATCCTGTAACAACACTTATGTAATTACACTTGGGTAATTATGGGGGCGATTGGGGCGGAGGCTCACTCTGTTTGCTCATGCCTGGTCCCACGATTTCTGTGGCCTTCGTGTCATGCTTGTCTAGGGCGTAATTGTGGTGGTTCTAGATAGAAAACTATCACCTGAGGACCACATAAAGAATATTGTGCAAGGAGCCTATGCTATGCTTTCTAACTTCAGAATTGCATTTAAATACATGGATGGAGATATACTAAAGAAACTGTTCATGACTTTTGTTAGGCCAAAGCTAGAATATGCAGCTGTTGTGTGGTGCCCATATCTTAAGAAGCACATCAACAAACTGGAAAAGGTGCAAAGCCATGCTACTAAGTGGCTCCCAGAACTGAAGGGCAAGAGCTACGAGGAGAGGTTAGAAGCATTAAACATGCCAAAATTAGAAGACAGAAGAAAAAGAGGTGATATGATCACTACGTACAAAATAGTAACAGGAATTGATAAAATCGATAGGGAAGATTTCCTGAGACCTGGCACTTCAAGAACAAGAGGTCATAGATTTAAACTAGCTAAACACAGATGCCGAAGAAATATAAGAAAATTCACCTTCACAAATAGAGTGGTAGACGGTTGGAACAAGTTAAGCGAGAAGGTGGTGGAGGCCAAGACCGTCAGTAGTTTCAAAGCATTATATGACAAAGAGTGCTGGGAAGACAGGACACCACGAGTGTAGCTCTCATCCTGTAACTACACTTAGGTAATTACACGCACACACGCACACATTCACAGATTCAGATTCACACAGAAACAGATTCACGGAAAATGAAAAGGAAATGTGTGAAACATTAAATGAAAAGTTCCAAAGTGTGTTTGTACAAAATGAAATCTTCAGAGAACCAGACATGATAAGAATTCCAGAGAACAACATAGAGCGGATAGAGGTGTCTAGAGATGAAGTGGAAAATATGCTAAAGGAGCTCAGTAAGAACAAAGCAGCTGGCCCAGCTGGAGTTTCACCATGGGTTCTGAGAGAATGTGCATCTGAGCTCAGCATTCCACTTCACCTGATCTTTCAGGCATCCCTGTGTACAGGAATCGTAGCATACGTGTGGAAACAGGCTAACATAGTTCCAATCTACAAAAGTGGCAGCAGGGAAGACCCCCTCAATTATAGACCTGTATCATTGACAAGTGTAATAGTGAAAGTATTGGAAAAACTAATCAAAACTAAATGGGTAGATCACCTGGAGAGAAATGATATAATATCAGACAGACAGTATGGTTTTCGATCTGGAAGATCCTGTGTATCGAATTTACTCAGTTTCTATGATCGAGCCACAGAGATATTACAGGAAAGAGATGGTTGGGTTGACTGCATCTATCTGGACCTAAAAAAGGCTTTCGACAGAGTTCCACATAAGAGGTTGTTCTGGAAACTGGAAAATATTGGAGGAGTGACAGGTACGCTTCTAACATGGATGAAAAATTTTCTGACTGATAAAAAAATGAGGGCTGTGATCAGAGGCAATGTATCGGACTGGAGAAATGTCACAAGTGGAGTACCACAGGGTTCAGTTCTTGCACCTGTGATGTTTATTGTCTACATAAATGATCTACCAGTTGGTATACAGAATTATATGAACATGTTTGATGATGATGCTAAGATAATAGGAAGGATAAGAAACTTAGATGATTGTCATGCCCTTCAAGAAGACCTGGACAAAATAAGTACATGGAGCGCCACTTGGCAAATGGAATTTAATGTTAATAAATGCCATGTTATGGAATGTGGAATAGGAGAACATAGACCCCACACAACCTATATATTATGTGAGAAATCTTTAAAGAATTCTGATAAAGAAAGAGATCTAGGGGTGGTTCTAGATAGAAAACTATCACCTGAGGACTACATAAAGAATATTGTGCGAGGAGCCTATGCCACGCTTTCTAACTTCAGAATGGCTTTTAAATACATGGATGGCAATATACTAAAGAAATTGTTCACGACTTTTGTTAGGCCAAAGCTAGAATATGCAGCAGTTGTGTGGTGCCCATATGTTAAGAAGCACATCAACAAACTGGAAAAGGTGCAAAGACATGCTACTAAGTGGCTCCCAGAACTGAAGGGCAAGAGCTACGAGGAGAGGTTAGAAGCATTAAATATGCCAAAACTAGAAGACAGAAGAAAAAGAGGTGATATGATCACTACATACAAAATAGTAACAGGAATTGATAAAATCGACAGGGAAGATTTCCTGAGACCTGGAACTTTAAGAACAAGAGGTCATAGATATAAACTAGCTAAACACAGATGCCAAAGAAATATAAGAAAATTCACTTTCGCAAACAGAGTGGTAGACGGTTGGAACAAGTTAGGGGAGAAGGTGGTGGAGGCCAAGACCGTCAGTAGTTTCAAAGCATTATATGACAAAGAGTGCTGGGAAGACGGGACACCACGAGCGTAGCTCTCATCATGTAACTACACTTAGGTAATTACACTTAGATAATTACATTTAGAATGGATATGGAAAAATCAAAAAGAGTTTTCTCGGTTGGCACAGTTTCCCGCTGACCGAGAATACTCGGCTAGTGCAGTTAAGTGGTTAAGGGTTAAGTATATGACAAAAACCAGTATTGAATGTAATGAAATGCCATTTTCTGAGCGAGCCGCATAGGCTTCTTCAAGCTATCCGAACTGATATATGCTATATTAGTTTTGGGTCATCAGTCACTGGAATTGTTATGCCTACCAAGAACACGAGCCAGAACTTGATCCCCTCAAAGAGGTGTATGGAACAATGCCCTATGAGCCATTTACATTTAGAGTATGTCATAATTGCCATTGACTGGGGAGGGTACCCAGAAAGATAGGCGAAACAAAACAGACCACAATCTGGTGAAAACTGTGACCTATGCCCGAACATAGCTAAAGAACTCCCCAGAAAGAAAACAAACAAGCAACATTTCATCCAACTAGCATTCTTGCTCATTAGTGCTACCCCTTTTGTGGGGTGTAGGGGGAGCCAGCAGCTCACCACTCCAGTTCTTGAACAATGAAGACTGCTGACCGGAGGGAGGGAGGGAGGGTGTCAGAGAGCCTCCGGGGCTAGCCCAGAAAATGGTGTTTCATTACATTGAATGCTGGTTTTCTGTGGGAAGCCCTGTTAGCTTTCCTGATGCTAATTACACACAGATAAGTAAAAACAGGGACATACCTGGGAGAAACATAGAAACAAAACATAGAAACCACCTCTCGGAGGATCGGTGCAAACAGTTTCAGCACGGCAGATAGCGCCTCAGCAGCCGAAACCAGAACCCCAGCCGAAGGCCTCACACACAATTCTTCCACATCCTCCAAAAGCCAATCGTAGATAACTCCAGAAGACTGAAGAAGCGCAAGACCAAGGCCAAATGACTGCGAGTCCGAAGGTCATCAACTGCCAAAGCAGCCGAAAGAGTGGGGGACCTGTGCACGCAACTGTACCAAACCCCTATCACAAGGAAGTGCAGGAGCGAAGAGGCACTCATTGAGGAAATCAAGCAAGCCCCCCAAGAATACCTGCAACACTGAAGAGACCTCTCATTGCTCAAGTGTAAAGGTATGACAAAAGCCACGCCAAGCGCCAAGAGAGAAGATGAGGCAGTCTGCCAGCCAGGAAGACTCTGGAACCTCATAACGGACCCAATACAGGGAAGAAAAATTGAACTCAGACGAAGCTGGATCCATCACAGAGGTGTAAACCGGGTCTCGCAGGAGGTATGCACCAAGGGTCTCCCGAACCTTCCAAGGGGAAATTCGAGAGGAAGGAAATTTCTAGAAGGACAAATCCAAGGAACCCAAAGGCACCCAGAAACAAACCCAGGAGGAAGCTGCACCTAACTCAAATTCATACAGGAAAGGAAGGTAAGAAAACTCCCTCCCTGGCAGCAATAACCCCTGCCAGAATGCACAAGGACCTGAGCAGGGTCAAACGGAGCCCAAGCGCTCCAAGCAAACTTCCCCGGAGCCCCAGGAACTCCCAACACAGGCCCAGGGCAGAGCCCTCATCCATGCCCACTACCCCTGAAGAAAAGGCAGAGTTCAGTGGAAAAACTTCTGAGAAGGGAGTCAGCTGGGTTGACTCAGAAGCGTCAGTGGGAAAGTCGGGCTCAGCCATCTCCGCGCCCAAATCAAAAGGGGCAATCTCCGAAGCCACCCGAGCCTCATCCCGAGTTAAAACCCGCCCCGATTCCAAAACCTTTAGATGTTTCGAAGCTGGAAGCAGGGGGGGAAAGGAGCAGGGCGAACCATGCCCACCTTAGAAGGAAGCGAGGGCATGGACGGAACCAAGGTCAAAGCAATCAACGCCCCCAAATTCGAGTCCCTAAAACCCAAGCGAGGCAGCTCTGGGGCCTCCAACCTGGCCTATTGCAATTATAAGAATCGAGCATGCAACACAGCCAATGCCTGATCCCAAATATCACTAAATAAGGGATGAGCAATAGGAGCACAAGTGTGGAACAAGTCCTACCTGACCCCGGGTTTGCCGATGTCCCCGACCCCCCCTGGCAGCATGACAGAGGTAGGACAGATGATCATCTCCCTGACCATGGTATGGCAATGAACAACCCTCAAATTCACCAAAGGCGAGATTGAGCCCAGAATTAGTACCATGGTATAAGTGGGAACCACAATGGTTATTCTGGGCTGCAAGTAGCAGTCATGAAATCTCAGGGGCAACAGAGAAGGACTAAACTTTTCACAATAGATGATTCAGATTTTACTGTGTTGACTATTACACTCTGCCTTCTGTTTGTTAGAAAGTAAAAGAACCATCAGCCTACTTTACCAATAATTCCTTTGTGCACATTTCGTGTTCAATCACACCTTGGTCACATTTGTCGAAGCCTTTTGAAAAATCTGTGTATATTACGTCAGCATTTTGGTTGTCTTCCATGGCATCTAAAGCCATGTCATAGTGATCTAGCAGGTGCGAGAGGCAGGAGCGCCCTTTTCTGAACCCATGCTGCCCAGGGATATGAAGACACTGTAATTCCATATGTGCTTTGTGATCTTACATCTTAGCAGTCTTATAAAGATTTTTATAATATGTGATGTTAGAGCTATTGGTCTGTAATTTTTTGGCAAAAGCTTTACTACCTCCTTTATGAAGTGGCACAATCTCAGCTGCTTTAAGGGATAATACCAGTATCTAGGTTCAATCTCCAAAAGATGTTTAGGGCCTGTGAGAGTTTTTTTTATTTTGCAATTCTTGGTGTATACAGAATTTCAGGAGTCTGGGCCTGGTGCAGAGTGCATTGGCATGCTGTCTATGGCTGCGTCAACTCGATGGTGGTGTCACATTCATAAATAATTAGTTTGGATCAATGATCTGCAATGTGTTCAGGGGTTCACTAAAAACAAAATCATACTGTAATCTCAGATTTCACTTATTTCTTTGTTGTCAGCTGTGAAGGTTCCATCATCCTTGTGCAAGGGCCCAATGCAGGATGTAGTTTTTGTTCTATGGGAGTGGTGTACCAAAGTGAATGTGACAGATGGGAGTGGTGTACCAAAGTGAATGTGACAGATGGGAGTGGTGTACCAAAGTGAATGTGACAGATGGGAGTGGTGTACCAAAGTGAATGTGACAGATGGGAGTGGTGTACCAAAGTGAATGTGACAGATGGGAGTGGTGTACCAAAGTGAATGTGACAGATGGGAGTGGTGTACCAAAGTGAATGTGACAGATGGGAGTGGTGTACCAAAGTGGATGTGACAGATGGGAGTGGTGTACCAAAGTGAATGTGACAGATGGGAGTGGTGTACCAAAGTGGATGTGGCAGATGGGAGTGGTGTACCAAAGTAGTTGTGGCAGATGGGAGTGGTGTACCAAAGTGGATGTGGCAGATGGGAGTGGTGTACCAAAGTAGTTGTGGCAGATGGGAGTGGTGTACCAAAGTGGATGTGACAGATGGGAGTGGTGTACCAAAGTGAATGTGACAGATGGGAGTGGTGTACCAAAGTGGATGTGGCAGATGGGAGTGGTGTACCAAAGTAGTTGTGGCAGATGGGAGTGGTGTACCAAAGTGGATGTGGCAGATGGGAGTGGTGTACCAAAGTAGTTGTGGCAGATGGGAGTGGTGTACCAAAGTGGATGTGACAGATGGGAGTGGTGTACCAAAGTAGTTGTGGCAGATGGGAGTGGTGTACCAAAGTGAATGTGGCAGATGGGAGTGGTGTACCAAAGTGAATGTGGCAGATGGGAGTGGTGTACCAAAGTAGATGTGGCAGATGGGAGTGGTGTACCAAAGTGGATGTGGCAGATGGGAGTGGTGTACCAAAGTGGATGTGGCATGCAATCTTTTGTTTACAATATTTTTTATTCAAGATTTATTTACATTACTCAGTAACCAGTAGTGAAATTATCTTTGTATTCTGCAGAAGACTGGGGTGACCATGAAGGCAGCGAAAAAAATTCAGATCAATGTACCTTTAAGACCCTATGGCAACCTTCCTTCGTTCAAAAATGTTCCTGAAGTCACCTTTCCTATTCTTTGGGTTAATGAAGTAAGTTGATTTTGATTTTGATTAATGCTATATTTTTATGTATGATGCTACCATTTAAATTTAATTCACATGTCTTTTAAAACTTAGAAAATTCTGAAAATTTTAAGAAATCTATTGAATTGACCACTCAGTGTTGAAAAAATATTTTCTCATAGATATATCACACTACTGTATTTTGCTGTGCATTTGCATCAAATTATTTTCTCCTCAGTGATGTGGATTATTGTATTTACCAGAAGAAATAATGCACATTTTTAGTCCACAATTAACCAAGTATACACTTTGTTTACACATACAAAATCATATGTTTTCCCTACAAAACCACCTGACAATCCTATTCAACAAATGTGTGATGAAATGCAGGAAATTTATGTTTTTCCATAAATTATACTTGTAAAATGGTGATTTGTACACTGGAAAATATGGAAGCTAAGGATAAACTTGTCAATAACTTTAGCCCTGAATAATGAAACTAAAGAGTAACATATTACATTTAAACTCTGGAGTGTGCAATTACCAATATGCAAATTCTTAAAATACAGTACCTATATATGAAAACCTTTAATTATATAATCTCTTGTTTGCCATTGAAAGATAAAAGTACACAAGCAAAAAACCAGCGCTGAATGTAATGAAACTACATTTTCTGGGTAAGCCCCAGTGGCTTCCTGAAGCTGTCTGAACTTGTGTATGCTATATTAGTTTGGGGTCATCAGTCACAGGAGTTCTTATACCCACTGGGGAACCATGAGCCAGAACCTGGTCCTCTCAGAGAGGCGCAAAGAGCAATATTAATGGCCTATGAGCACTTTACATTTTAAGTATGTCATATTTGCCATTGACCTGGAAAGGAACCAGAAAGGTAGGCGAATCAAAACACTGTCTGGTTAACCTGTGCAATCTATATCCAAAAAGATCAAAATAACTTCTACAGAAAGGAAACTAAACAAGCAAGGTTCGGGACTGTTTTGCCTGTTTTGCTCCTTCCCGTTTTCTGGTGCGTCTGTCGTCATTTGGTTGAGCTTCCCTCCGGTCCTTTCTAGGGCTTGTGGGTCCTCTTCCCAGCAGCTTCTGGGTGTTGGCCTTTTTGTTCTTTTATGAATATCTCTTCTCTTCACACTGTCTCGGCGCTCCTAGTTTTCCTGGGAGCGATTTTGCTCCTAATGAGTCTTTTTGCTCCTGCCCTTCTGCGGGATGTTGGTGCGGGGCGGCTCCTTATGCGAGTTCCTTCCCTGTCAGCTGCACTTGTGGAGGTGGTCTTGCACACTTGTGGCATTTTCGTTTTGGTCCTGCGTTTTCTTTTCCCTCCTGGGGCTGTAATAGGATTGGCTTGCGAAGGATGTAGAGGCGCTTGGGGCCGTTCCAGGGTCTGGCACCTTGGTTTCTGCTGCTAGCTTTCGGTATCGATATTCCTTCTGCGCCGTTTCGCAGGTTGTATCGTGCGTTGTTACACCTCCGGCCTGCTTATGCACTGTCTATGTCGTCCTGGTCTTTGGACAGGGTGCTCTCCTGTTTTTCTTCTCCTTGGTGGTTGTGGCTCCTTGGGGTCAGGTTTGCTTTGCCTCGGTTTTCTTTTTGTGTTGGCATTCACCTCTGGGGGCCGTGTGGCAGAGCTTCTTGCTCTTCTCAGGCGCAGTGGTTTTTGGCTCCTATTGTCGTGATCATAGGTTTTCTTCATCTGCGTCCGTTCTCCCCTTTTTCTGGCGAATGCTATACCTTGGGTTGTTGTCTCGACTTCGTGTTGTGGAGTGATTCTCCTACTGCCTCCCGGGTATGTCCCCTTGTTTTTTAGGTAGTCTTTGGTGAGGTAGCTCCGGGAACCCGTAGGGGCTCCCCCCAGAAAACCAGCATTGAATGTAATGAAACGCCATTTTCTGGGTGAGTCCCGGAGGCTCCCCGGCACCCTCCCGCCCTCCGGTCGGTGGGTTTTTCACGGTTTTGATATCCAGCCTCAGAACTGGGGTGGGGATCGCTGGCGCGGGGGTCTGGGGCTCCCCCTTTCCCCTCTCGGGGAGGGGGGAGCTGCGCAGACATGCGGCTCGGGTGACGTCATGCTTGTTAGTTCGTTTTCCTGAGGGAGTTCTGTCCACTCGTTTGTCAATTTTGTTGTTTAACCAGAATAGGGGTTTGTTTTGTGGCACTTACCTTTCTGGGTGCCTGTCCCAGTCGATGGCAGATATAGAATGCTCCAAATCACATGTGCATTTCTATGGGCCATTGCTCCCCGTGCCTCTCTGAGGGGGCCAGGTTCTGGCTCGTGGTCCCCAGTAGGCCTAGAACTCTACCCACATCGACTGATGCAAAATAGTTAGGGTATCCATATCAGCCATGGATAGCTCCGGGGAGCCTCCGGGACTCACCCAGAAAATGGCGTTTCATTACATTCAACGCTGGTTTTTTTTATATATTAAGAATGTGTCCCTGGAAATTCAGCTTGTTATCGATGAGGACACCAAGGAATTTACCATCAACTTTACTACTGATTTGTATATTGTTTATTCTTAGATTAATTTCATTTGAAGATTTATTACCAGACAAAATATAGAAAGTTTTGTCAATGTTAAGGGTGAGTTTGTTAGCAGTTAGCCAAAGATGGACTTTATTTAGTTCAGTATTCACAGTGACATTTAGAGCAAGAGGGGTCAGGACTGGAGAAAATGAAAGTTGTGTCATCAGCAAATAAGATTGGTTTGAGGTGTTGAGAGGCATTTGGAAGGTCATTAATGTAGATGAGAAAGAGGAGAGGGCCAAGTATGCTGCCCTGTGGAACACCAATGTTTATAGGTAGTGTAGGAGAAATGGAATTATTCACAGAAATATACTGGAGCCTGTCAGTAAGGTAAGACTGAAGGTATTGCAGGGAGTGTCCTCTGACTCCATAATGATGTAATTCAAGAAGGTTTTGGTGGTTGACAGTGTCAAAAGCCTTACGCAGGTCCACAAATAACCCAACAGGGAACTCATTTTTATCAAGAGCTGTATGTATCAAGTTAATCATACTAATAAGTGCATCATTAGTGCTTTTATTGGGTCTGAAACCATATTGGCAAGAGCTAATACCATATTTATTCACTCAACAATTTTGTAAAATATTTATTCACCTAACAATTTTATAAACTGTTTATTCATCTAATTATTTTGAAAACTTTCAGAGTGCAGATGTTAATGCAACAGTGTCCAAAGAGGTTATAAAAGGAGTTAGTCTGCCTTTTGTCGTCGTCAATGCCATCTGTGGCACCTTAATAGCTCTTGGACTTGTTTTCCTTATTGTTGGAGGAATTAAATTCAGCAAAATCAGAGTAAGTTGAGTTTTCTCATAGAAATTTTACATTATTTTGATGATAATTCATTTTGTTAGGGGACAGGTAGCCTGAGTGTAATTACCTAATGGTTTAATAACAGGAATCGTCCAAATTGACAAAGAGGAATTCCTGAAACCAGCAACTTCAAGAACAAGAGAACACAGATTCAAACTAAGGAAACAAAGATGCAGAAAAAATATTAGAAAGTTTTCTTTTGCACACAGAGTGGTAGATGGTTGGAACTAGTTAAGTGAGAAGGTGGTGGAGGCCAAAACCGTCAGTAGTTTCAAAGCGTTATACGACAAAGAGTGCTGGGAAGATGGGACACAACGAGCGTAACTCTCATCCTGTAACTACACTTAGGTAAATACACTTAGGTAATTACATTAGGCATATATCAAGGTTCCCCAAGGTTGAACCACTGACCCTTCCCAGGATGCAACCCCACAACACACTAACTCCTTGGTACTTATTTACCGCTAGGTGAAGAAAAGCATTAGGCGATAGGAGATGTGCCAAACCATTTCTGACCTGCATGGGATTCAAACCCGGGATTCCTGTTTGTGATTCAAGAATGAACCTAACTGTATTATGAGACACTAGTAGCTGTTAGTGTATATTTAATTATAGTACTGTATTACCAAAAATATGGAAAATTCCTGAAAACATGAAAAAATTAAAATATGCGGAAAATCAGTTATTTTTCTGGGCAAGAGCTCCTTGTGGCTTCCTAAAGTTATACGCTTAGATGGTTCCTATGTGACAGAGTGCATCACCCATATAGTTCCTAGGCCAACCGGGGACCAGAGCAGAACATGACCCCTCACAGAGGTGCTGAGAGCAGTAACATTTCACCATCTCACTGGACAATGCACCCAGAAAGCAAGCGAGTCGATACAAACCACTGCTAGGTTCAAGAGATTGAAGCTTTGCAACCTGCCTAATGAACTCCCTCAACTATGTAAAGAAATGATTGGATCTCTTAAAACTAGTGTTAACTCATTCTCCCCACCTCCCATACTTGTTTGGGGAGGAGAGGAAGGAGCTCACCACCCTACTGGGATCTGAGCTGTCAGTTCTTATGCTGATGCAGTGGAGGTCATTTGACTATTGTAGTGGTTCTTGGGTTGCCTCAATCATGCAGGCTCCACCTTTCTATTAAGTAATTTTGGGTCTTTGCCCTTGGTTGCATTTCTTATACTCTGTGGTGTAGCGAGAGCATGGCATGTAGAGCACTTGGACCTGCATGTGCTAAGGATGATTTAGGGAATGAGGACCCTTCCCTGGGTCCTCTTTAGTGATGCCCTTGCATTGTCAGAGATGCCTTCTCTTAGTGTTCGGGGGTTTGCTCCCTTATTGGTCCTCCTCGCTTCTTGTGGTCCTCGCCCAGGATGAGTCACAGGTCTTGTGGCTCCTCTGTCTTAGCCTGGTCTGGAGCGCCATTGGCTGGTGAGGCACATTGATGGTTTGCAGGCTTTCCTTCAGCACTCCGAGGTTGGCCTTCACAACCATGTAATCCAAGCTGTGTTAGCTTACTTTTAGGTTCAGCATAGCCTTTAGATCATGGAAATCCCCAGTGGTTTTGGTCCTATGGATAACCCCTCCAAACCTGCTCACACCTTGTGTGAGTTTGAGGGTTGCTCATTGTCTGTGCCACAGGATTACGATCACTTGTTCTGCCTCCACTATGCTGCTGGAATATTGGGTTAGTAACATCTTTGACCCCGAGCCCTGTGGGGTTTGCTCTTCCCATGTGGCTCTTTCTGACCCTCCTGATGAGGGTAGGGCACCTGAGGCATATGGACACAGCAAGTAGCTCTTGTGCTGGGTTCAGGGGGTTTGGTTCTCCTTGCAGTTCATGTTCAGGGATGTCCATCATTCTTTTAGATGGTCTGTCCCAGTTCCTTCCCATCACCACAGAGTGGGCCATCAATGCCACATCCTTCCTTTGGCTTCACGAAACATACAGGTGCCTGGATGAGGGCCTCTTTATATGAGTGTGGAATCAGTGCCTCCTGTTTACGATGCTGTTCTCTGATCATGAGGCCCTCATGGTAAATGCATTTCAGCGGAACTGATTGAGGTGAAGGTTCCTATACCTCTTTCGTTCCTCTTCTAGATGACAGTATGAGGTTTCGTCGTGCTCCTTTTGCCCTACTTTTCCCTTTTCTGGGGGGAGCCCCTTCAGCTCCCGAGAGTTATATGGGCTGATATGCTAATGTCAGACTTTGGCATCAGTCATGTGTATGGAGTTCAATGGGCCTACCGGGGACCATGAGCAAGAACCTGGCCCCCTCAGAGAGGCAAGGGGAGCAATGGCCTATAGAAACCCCTGTGTGGTTGGAAGCATTCTGTCTGCCATCGATCGGGTCGGGCACCCAGAAAGGTAGGCGTCCCAAAACAAACCCCTATTCTGGTTAAAATTGCTATCAAATGCTGAACTAGTGGATAGAACTAATCAAAACGAAACGAGCAAACTAGCATGACATCACACGTCACCTCACCACTGTCTGCGCAGCTCCCCTCTCCCCGGAGAGGGGAAGGGGAAGCCCCAGACCCCCATGCCAGCGATCCACACCCCAGTTCTTTTGGCTAATGCTATAGGCAATGGTTGTGTGCTCTGGCTCCAGTGTCTTTCAGCATTGTGTTTCGTGTGTGGTGTCTGTTTTTCAGGGGTGTGAGAGCCAGGAGTGAGTCTTCAGTACTTGGGCTGCATATGCAGCTAGGGTACCCTTTCCTTTAGGTGCCCTGTAAGTACTGCCCTTGGAGCTTGGGGGTTACCTTCCACAGGTTCCTCGTGTCCTGCCTTTGCTGGGCTGTTTCACTGCTTGGTTTTTCGGCCGCTCTTTGGATGCTTGGGTGTTTTGTCTCCCTTGTTTAATGTGGTGGCAAATGTGGTGGTTTAGGCTTCCCCTGGTTCGATTCCGGGGTACTTTGGGTTCTATGGTTTCGTTCCGGAGGTTTCTTCCTCTTGGGCTCCCTTTGTGGGTTCAGGGGGCTTTGTTTCCTCGTGTGACCCGGTTCTGCCTTCTGGAGTTCCGGGGTCTTCCTGGCTTGCAGACTGATCTTTTTGGATCTTGGCACGTGTTGTGGTCGTGCTGGGACTTTGAGGTTTTGTTGTCGAGGTGGGCCTTTTGATGCAGTTTTGTGCCTTCTTTGCCTGGCCGGCGTGGTGCTCTCTGCTCACTGGTCGGTGGCTTGTACTTTTCTTTTAAAGTGTATGTGTGTGTGTATACGCATGTACATGTGTATGCTGTGTGTGTGTGCACATGTGTTTACACATGTGTGTATAACATAACTTGTTTGTATGTGTATATGTATATGTATGTGTATGTGTACTTTTTCTTTCGGAAGGGGCTCTGTTCCCTTCTCTGTTGACGGGGCGCTGGGGGAGCAGCCTGCTCTGTTGATTCTCGCATGGTCCCGCTGTTGGTGGACACTTTTGGTTGTCTTCCAGCCTCTGGTGGTGTCGGTGGATGGCTTCTCCCCCTTTGGAGGAGTTCAGAGCTGGCGGGGTGGGCTTCTTTCCCTGCGCTTCGTCATGTCATCTTAGTGGGTGCATTGGACATGGTCGATCCACCCCATCCTTCTGGGGTTCCCGTCTGCTCTTTGAAGTCATGGGCCTTTCGCATCTGCGGTTCTTCTGGACTTCTTCAGTCTGCACCCTGGATTCTATGCCCTCCTCAGAGGAATGTTGTCTCCTGTCCGGCTTTCTGTTGGGGCCAGGTGCCTGGATGGTGGACCTGGACCTCCAGGTCAATCCTTGGCACGTTCCTCTCCAGTTTTCTGGGACTGGCACAGTAGGTGGTGGGGCTTCAGGCTTGCTGCATTTGTTGCCTTCCCTATTTTGTATTTGGCATTTGGTGTATTTTTGCATCTTTACCGGATCTTAGTGCCCTGTCTGAATCTGCTTGAAATTCGGTGTCTGGCCTACCTCGACGACTGGCTGGTGTGGGCTCCCAGTCAGTCCGCTTGTCTGCTCGCCAGGGGTGTGGTTCTTTCCAGATCACCGGGTTTAGTTTCCTGGTGATCTGGAGGCCATTACATCTGTTTCTGTCCCGGGTTCGGACCTGGGCCTTGTTTAGGGCTATTGGGCCACGCCTTGTCTTTCCCTCCAGAAGTGTTACTGCGGCTGTGGTCCCACCTTCGGCTGTTCATGAGGGGGTCCCGGGCTGCTCAGTGGTTGCTTGAGCAGTTGTGCGGGAGTCTGACCTTCGACGGGCTGGTCTGCCCGCGGGGTCGGGTTTGGCTTCAGCGTCTGTTTGGTTCCTTCGGAGACTCCCCTTCCACCTCTTGCAATCGTTGGGTTCGTTCCTCCGGGGATCTTGTGTTGGTGCTGCGTCGCCAGCTTCCTCTTTGGGGTTTTCGGGGTTCCGTGCCTTGGCACCTTCCCGAGCCTTCGCTCGATGTGTTCATGGACGGGTCATCTCTCGGCTGCGGCTTTGTGACCAGTGTTCACCAGGTCGGTCGGGGATGGTTGAGTCTGTCCGTCCGTCGGGCTCACAGCACGGTTCGGGAGTTCGTGGCTGTCTGGTTTGCGCTTCTGAGGGTTTGGGTCACTCGGTGCTCTACCGTTCGACTCTGTTCGGACTGTTCTCTGGCGGTTCTTGCCGGAACCACAGGGTTTCTCTTAGGTGTTGACCTTTGGGGTTGGTTCCTTAGAGTGGCTTGTTTGCTGGATTCTCGGGGTTTAGCTAACTATGAGGTTCATGTCCGGGGTGTGTCCTGCGTCCTGGCGGACAGCTGTCTTGGTTCATTCCTCTGTTCGCGGATTGGCCAGTCGCCGACTCGTTTTGTTGGCCTTGTCGGACGTATGGACTCCTGGCCATGGACGTCTTCGAGTCGGCGTGGTCTAGGCATCGCCCATTTTATGTGGAGTCCTTACCCACCTGCGAGGCATTCACGGTGGATGCTTTTCAGCAGGACTGGTCGAAGTGGGGATATCTGTTCCTCTTCTCCCGGACCAGCTGTTGCTTCGGGTTCTGGCTTGGTTGGTG